TCTGGAAAGGTCTTTTTAAACCATAGAAATGCTTCACTTCTCAATAAAGTGATATTTGGTCGATTAAACTATAGCACACACTTTACACAATGCTTACTGGTGAGCAGCATCACCAGAACCACCCCACTCGCTTACTGGATCTTACTGAAGCGTCTACAACTTCACCACCCCACTTTGAAACAGAAAGATCTTGAGAAACTCCACTGAGCACTGTCCAAACAGGCAAAATTCACTTCCCTGCCGTGCTGCTCCGAGCTGGGGCCATGGCACGCGGAGCCACCCTTCCTACCTGGCACGTAGATGTCCACCGGCACGATGCGGTCGCAGCCCCTCACCACGGAGTAGGAGTAGTGGTAGTAACCCCCTCCATTGGCACAGCTGCGAGAGATGGGCAGGTTTCAGCTTGGTTACACATGGCTTAGTGGAGACAGGAGGCAAAGGGGAGCAGGAGGGAGAGGATAACATGAGGCCGGTGCCTCATCCGAGTGCCACAGGCAAGGAGTATCCCCCCCAGGTTTTACAGCATGATGCCAAGGTTCACACCATGGCTGTTCAGCCTCCTCACAAGCCCCAGCTGGCAGAGGCTGTTACAGTTCAAGCTGAATTTTAAACTTAAACAAGGGAAGTTCAGGTTGGATGTAAGAAAGAGGTTCTTTACGGTGAGGGTGCTGAGGAGCTGGCACAGGGCACCCAAAGAAGGGGTGAATGCTCCATCCCTGGCAGAGTTCAAGGCCAGGTTTGACAGAGCCTTGGGTGCCATGGTTTAGTGTGAGGCATCCCTGCCCATGGCAGGGGGTTGGAACTGGGTGATCTTGAGGTCCTTTCCAACCCAAACCACTCTGTGATTCTATGAATCAAACCCAACCAAACCAAACCAGTTTCATTACTCCTACGAAGCAGATATTCCTCCATCCTGCGAACCCCTTTTGATTTCACCACATCTGCACAGAGCATTTCTAGAGCTGTTCTCTCCGCTCCAGGCCCTGGTGAAATGACTGCCCTCAGCCCCAGGAGACACACAAGCTGTCAGCTCCACCGTGCCAGGGCTGCACGGAGCTGAGGTTCTGTCTTGTGCTGCAGAAGCTGTTTGAAAGGTTTCATCTAAACACGAGGTCTGATATTCTGGACACGTGCAAGTCCCCAGACTCTGAGAGCTGCAAAACCCCAGGGAAAACTCTGCAGTTCACAGTGATTTGACAGACATCATTCTCCTCACCCTAATGAAAGGGAGCCTTTATGTTTCCTTTGTAACAAGGCTCCTTATACAATTTTAGGGGCAAGGAAAATGAGAAATGGGTTCTTCTCCCTTCATCTCCCTGGCTCAAGCAGGCAAGAGCAGATTTCTACCACCAAGTAGGAAGCACCAAGCATGTCCTGGCACTTACCTCCCCATGGAGACCACGTAGCGAGGTTCTGGCATCTGGTCGTAGACCTGCAGGACAGAGACAGCTCAGCTCAGTCCCCGCTGCCTCCCAGCACATGCGGTGCCCGCCGCAGCCCCGGTACCTTCCGGAGAGCCGGGGCCATCTTGTTGGTGAGGGTGCCAGCCACAATCATGACATCGGCTTGCCGGGGACTGGCTCGGAACACCACCCCGAAGCGGTCCATGTCGTAGCGAGGAGCTGCCATGTGCATCATCTCCACAGCGCAGCACGCCAGGCCAAACGTCATCGGCCACAGGGAGCTCTGCAGCACAAGAGGCAGGGTATGGAGAGAGCCGAGCCCTTGCAACGGGTGACTCAAAAGGCAAGAGGTGATCAGAGACGGGAACAGAACAAGAGAAGGTTCAAGGTGTGCTCAAGTGAAAAGTGTTTGCTGTTATGCAGGAGAGCAAAACCCCCCGCTTCAGGGGAACAGATGCGTAGAGATCTGAGTGTTTGGAGCCTCAGGGATGCTGAACGTGCTCAGAGGTGAAGACGCTCCCCTTAACGTGTCACACTGCTACAGCAGCCACCTCAGCAGCCCTGCACAAGGGCAGCGGTGACTACAGGAAGCAAAATTCAGCTAAGCCACAGCACCCTGGATTCAGCCTTCCCCATGGCACAGAGTAGCCACTTGTTGCAAGGATTATGGGAAACCAGAAGGCACCTTCTGCTCTTGTCTGAAGGTCAGCTCTGCTCAGACAGGCACTGCTCTGCACCACCCTCCCGCTCTGACACAGCACTCAAACACCAACCTCTGGGCCAAGAAACTGGAGAATTCTGAACCTATTTTTATCCTGAGATGGCTCAACCCCATTTCGCACCAGCACCTCCAAGCATTCAATACCACTGCTCCCTAGCGAGCACGACAGTTTCGGACACTCACCCTTCTTGCCCAGTTGACCAGGTCATCGAGCTTGGTGACAATGTATTCACCCCTGCTGCTGGGGACGTAGGACTTCTTCTGCACGATGGCTGAGCTCTTTTGCTGGACTTGGACAGAGCTGAAGACAAAGAGCACAGGAGTGTCAGGCTCCGGTTAGCTGGTGTAACTGCATACACCCATCAGCCCCGAGGAGCGGCGATCCCATGAAGAACCCGTAGCACATCACTTATGGACAATCTCACACCCACTGCAGACTGTGTTCGAGCAGGGCGAGGGATGCTCCCCTCACCGTGGGGAGCACTGTGGTTATTGCTCAGAGCCCCTGTGCTCGCTGTACCCACATTACAGAGGGGGCCTGGTGGGCTCACGTCCAGGCTGACAGCAGCCTGGCTGTTCAAGACGCGAAGCGAGGAGGGGATTGTCAGGCACAGACAGAGCTCCCGCTAACAAGAGGTTTCCTACCCTGTCCCATTGGGGGTCCCTCACCCCAGGGAGGACGGGCCCGGCGGTACCTGTCAGCCTGGTTAGCCACCGGCGTGTGATGGAGCAGCCGGCTGCGAACAGGTGCCACGGCAGCGGGCCTGGAAAGAAGCACAACCCCCGCTGTGTGACCACGGCGGAGCACAACGGCCCCAGGCAGGGAGAAACCAAGCGCTCGGCGAACAGAAACCCCCGAGCACCCAACGCGGCCTCAACCCCCCCCCTCACCCTCCCCGGCCCCGGCCCTCACCGCCAGGCCAGGGCGCCGCGCCGAGGGAGGCGAAGACCTGCAACGAGAGGACGGGAGAGCTCAGCTCCGGCCGGACACCGGCACCGCGGGGAAGGGAACGGCCCGAGCCCGGTGTCCCCCCCCCCCCCTCAGCCCCGTCCCTCCGCGGAGGCCCCGCTCACAGCCCAGCGCCGCCATCTCGCCCGCAGCCCTTCAGGCAACCTCTGGGCGCGGTGCACCCGCTAAGCGGCCCGGCGCGGCCCTCGGTGCGCCGCCTCAGCGCGCCGGCGGGGAACGCGGGTCTGCGCGGGGAGTTCCGCGGGCCTCGGTAAAACGAAGCGGGAGGACCTCAGGCTCGACCGGGGCCGCTGGGCCGCGGAGGGAAAAGGGAGCGACCGTCCCTGGGTGGGCTCGAACCACCAACCTTTCGGTTAACAGCCGAACGCGCTAACCGATTGCGCCACAGAGACCGCGCTGCCGCCGCCGCTGCCGCGCCCGCGGCTGTGGCATCGAGGCCCCGAGGCTCCGGTGTCCCGGGGCCCTGCCGGCGGTGACGGGAGGGGCGGGGGGAGCGGTTCCGCACAGCCGAAATAGCTCAGTTGGGAGAGCGTTAGACTGAAGATCTAAAGGTCCCTGGTTCGATCCCGGGTTTCGGCAACCGCTTCTTTTCCTGCCGGGTATCCGGCTGCAAAACGCCCCTAAAGCCAGCGCCAGAGAAGGCATCAAAACCCGGCCCCGAGTCATTTTTATCTCGGTAGGGAGCAAAGGAAGCTGCTTTTAGTTAAACAGGACGAGTTCAAGAAGCAGCTTGGTCTCAGCAGAGGGGAGAACGTCCAATAAAGCACAGGACCAGACAACAGCACATTTGCTTTCTTGTACTCACCCCAATGCATTTCATGTGAAACTGGCACTTGCAGCACAATACTGCAGCTTTATCCGATACACAAAAATAATCACCACGTAGTGTGAAACAGGTGGAAGCACCTGGCCAGGCAAGCACAGCAGCAGCATCCTGCTTGGCAGAACTGAAGCACACAAGAGGAGCAAGCCTTTAACTTCATCAACCTTTAATTGATTGAACAACACAATCCTGTACAGCTGAGGACTGAGTTTGGGCCTGAGGTGCAAACAGCCCTGTAAGGAACCTGTAACGCCCGGTTTGAAGGTGGTTTTTAAAGATACAAACAGCTGAGAGTGCTCCAAATCACATTCACACTCTTCATCAGCCTTTGGCACAGCACAGTTTGACTTTTGAAAGAACTTGTCCACATTGAATCAAACTGGGATAGTGAAAGGTGTGAAAAGGGTCGAGATGAAGGTAAGGTGGATGGGGAGCTCTGCTGCCATACCAGGGACTGGAGAAAGAACTTAGCAGTACTTTAGGAATTTCAACTGGGAAGTGCACACAGGATCATGTTTTGAAGGAGAGGGAACCTGAGGACAAACTGAGAGCCAAGTCACCTATAGTTTAGGTACTTGTTAATGGTGCTTTGATAACATAAGGATTCCAAATGCATATTAAAACACATTATAAAGTAATTAAAAGTATAATTAAAATATATGTTAAAGATAGTAACTATAGCCAGAATACACATCTGTATCTCAATTTACATTTAAACTTCTGAATTTCAACTTATCTTGGTTTCTCTTGAAGAAGCAGATCATGTTTTCATCCTAAGATAACAAACGAGTCACAGGGGTTTTATCATTAAGTGGCTGTCAATAACACTGCAAGTCAAAGGCAATTTGCAATGTGCCAGACCTCCTGCAAAAAGCTGGACCTACAGGATGGAATTTGTATTTAAATCAGATAAAGACAAATAACTCCTCCTAAAATTATGGCCTCAAAAAAGCACTGAACCAGCATTCAAAACAGCTTCACTTTCACATGGAAAAGTGAATGGGGTTTGTTCTTTTAAGCAAACACTGGATTCCTTTCCCACTGGATTTTACAGCTATCCCATCAATAAAAACAAAGCCTTCGTTATTCTGCTTGCATCACTAGCTACCGATTTTATTTCCCCACACTTCGAGACACGTAAAGCAGGAACAGTCAATCCGGTGGGAATGTTTTTATACAGGAAACCCGCAGACATTCAGTAGTGGTAAAGTCACCCAGCAACACATGGCTATATCCTCCACCAGTCTGTGCTCATCAAAGAGAACAGCCCTCCCGTTGTCAGCTATTTGGCCAAAATAACTCCTATAAAACTCAGCATTCTATCAAGAAGCTCTGCAAAGCACCTGCAGCTCCGTGTTAAGGATGCTGAATGGATGAGGATTGAGGCAGCCACACACCCACAGTGCTCCCAAGGCCTGTTGCATTGTCTTTCACAGTCAGTTCAACACAGCAAGAACAGCTCCAGGGCACAGAATGGGGAGCAAGGACTGAAGACAGGACTGCATCCGAGAGCAGCACAATGACTACCTCTTTCAGAGATACACAAACAGGTTTTGAAGAGTAAGAATTACACTTTTTATACAAATAAGCACTTCATGACATACACTCAGTGCCAGGGGAGCTGGGGAAAGGTTGTGCTGCTGTTCAGACCCCGTCTGCAAGTGCTGGTTTGGTCTTCCACTTCTTTCTTTCTAGGATTTCTTCGTCAAAGATTTCTCTCTCCCTGAAAAGAAACAGAAAGCTCTGTAGTAAAAATAACCTCACCATATGAAACTGTGCAGGGTGTTACTGTAACACAGCAAGAACATTTCCGTGTATAATCATTTTGTTACTTAAGACAAGGAAAGAAAATTGCCATACAGGAGGGAGGATCTTGGACTCTCCTGCCCTTATGCTGCTCTCCACATAAACAGCAAAGTAGTAACAAAAATTCAGAGCATACTAAAAGATACCTCTTGCTCACAGATGGTCCTTTGATGTACTTCTCTTCTGCCTTCTTGTAATCTATATCATCCACAGCAGAAATGGCATAAATGATGGCCTAGAAAAGTAAGTGGTTCCAAATCACTGTTTGTAACTTAGCTTTTATTCCACGAGTATAAATGAACTGTCTCAGTCAATGAGGAACCTTATTCTAAAATCAATCACTTAGGAAAGTTGGATAAAACCTGAAACTTATAAATAACATAAACTTACCCTTTGTCTTTCCCAGGAGAGTATTTTAAAACCAGATTATGATACTCATCACAGTAATTTTGTTTCTACAGAGGTTACTAATGTTGTGCTGGGAAAATTCCTAGGAAGGACACTAAAAGTGTAACTGTAAAAACCAACCCAGCACCTCCCAAGCACAAAGAACCCAAGAAACCCCAGCGATAACTTGCCAAATGAATAAAAACCACCTCAAACCCAAAGACTTTAAGAGTTTCAGAAAGAATCAAATAGACTTGAAAGCAACAATTCTGCCTTTAAAAAACACTGTACTACCTAAAAATTCTCCATTTTGTGCTGACAGCTTAACAAGCCACAAACATAATTTAGGATTATGCAGAGTTGAATAGTCTTTGCCCAAGCTATAAAGAGAAACTAAGCAGCTTCATGCCCCTCGAGCTGCAGGGACCATGCAGGTGTGAACATACCTGCTCAGCTCAATCACCACTCAGCTCGCAAGGAACACTGCAAGTCACTGAACTCAAATCACAAAACACTAAAGTCATTTCCTTCCTTTAAGGTGTAGTTTCTCAGAGTTTCTTGTTTACTTACTTCAGGCAAAAGAACATCTGAAATAAATTTTATTCCATCTCCATTTATGTGATGCAGATGTTTAGCCTCTATTTCGTGATACACTTCCTTCAAGTAGTTCACTACAAGGTCCAGTTGCTCTTCATCCTCCAAATAGGTTTCAACACAGGTCACATACTGTCTCGAATTCAGGAATCCCTTCAGCCACCGGGATTGCTTTCTGCTTTTCAAAATAGCCAAAAGATGCTCTTCAGCCCCCTTAGTCTTCACTATAAACTCCACTATCTTCTTATTTGCTTTATCTCTAGCAGCTCTTGTCCTGTCAGGAAGAAGTTTCCTGGAGGGCTTCTGAAGTGATGTTTCTGATAAAGACTCTTCAGTATTTTCCTCTGCCACATCTGGAAAGGTGATTTGGACTAAACCTTGATAACCTTCCTTTCTAACTGGGTAGCCTGAAAGGAAAGCCACAGTCATTCATACTTAAATACACAAAGCATTTGTGTATGCATACATGCTCACATACACAAATTGAACATAAGGGACTTGCTTGATGAAGTGTTGTGGTTTTTTTCCTCCCTTACAAAGAGGGTAAAAAAACCACCACAAAAAAGAAAATTAAGATTTTGCCTTAAGAAAAATGAGGGAGTTGAAGCTGTGACAGGAGCCCTAAAATTAACTCTCCACAAGGTGAAATAAGTGGTTTCCCCAATTGTCTTAATATTTAACTTCTGTTGCGGTTCTGATAACCCTTAAAGTGCAATAATGGCATGAGAATTTTACTGGCACTCCCTCACTGGGTCTGAAGCCTCACTCAACACATATGTAGACACTAGAGCTAAACTTGCCTCCCAAGAGAATACTACAAAAAATAATGGGTTCACTTACTGATATCATCAGCAAAATATTCCAAGAAGGATCCCGTAAAAGAATGACAACCTAAAAAGCCCAAACCAGAGTTATTTATCAGTTCAGTTAAGCCTGGGAAACAAAGCTGACAGTTTTGGTGTTACCTGTTTTCTGATGTATATCAGAATGAATGACATCTCCTTACCTACTCTAATTCGATAGTCAGAAATCAGTCGAATACACCACTCAATCTCCTGGCGATAATCTTCTTTGGCTCGTTCCTATAAAACAAGAGCTCTTTACAGTCCTAAAAGGAGTAGCCTACTGAAGCTTTTAGTCTAGGACACTAACCAGGTAACAGAAATGGCTAATGATAATGAATCAAAGTTTACTTGCAGTTTCTGCATTCTCCTGAAATTCAACTTCTGCCAGTGCTTTGTCACCCAGCGTGAGTGGCTTTGTGGTACGCGGGAAACCCGCAAGTGAAAAGAGTCCCAAGCAACTGCCTGCCTTCCACAGGTATTCTGCACAGCAGCCCCACTGAGATGGAAAAGGGTGTCAGGGGATCCCCTTCCTGCGTTAGTCTCCATCTTGTGGAGAATTACATTTAATTACATCATTGAATACAGCAAGAGGGGACAGAAGAGTGAACAGCCACAGACCAGCCAGCTGCACCAAACTCCTCTCACAGGGGCAGTTACACACTGTGATACCACTTTGTATTTTCCAAAGCATGCACAGACTTGCAGTTCCATGTTACTGGTAGTACTTACTATGAGGTCCTGCTTTTCTTCACAATCAAAGTGCTTCAGACTCCTAAGAGATACTGAAAAACTGGATGAAACAAAGAAACAGGGAGAAGAGGCAATTGAGTTGCACCTCTGTATTTACTGCAGTTCTATGCCTCCCTGAAAATTAGATCTTGTGAGGAATTCAGAAATGCAGGTTTTATTAGTAAGGGTTTTCATAGTAAGCTACAACTATGGAATCTTTAACAACCGAGAAGTACCTGGTTTTAAGACAAAACTAAAGGCAGGCTGGTGTCCCCAGAAAGTTTGGGAATCACAAGTAAAAACCACTATCTGGGTCCCCAGCCCTTCTTTCATGCCTCACATGAGCATCAGCTGCTCACATGATGCCAGCTTATCTCAACCAGCAGCCTGCAAAGGACATAGTCCACAACTGCGAATCCTCACCTTGCTTGGTCCCTCCCTCCAAAATCAACCTTTGTTTTAACCAACAGTGCAATTGCGCTGTGCCAGGAAACAAGTACAGGGCACTAAAAGAAACTGGAAGTTTGGAATGTGCTCAGAATCCACAACGTTTACCCTTTTTTCTTGTCATTTGTATTCCCTTCTATTAACAGCACACAGGCCTTTCGGTGTTTCCGCTTCACAGTTTTCACCTGTTGAAAGGATGAAGTCTCATTAGCATCCTAAAACCCTTCCAAAGCAGGAGCATTTTCCATCTATGTTATACACTACACCCCATATGTAAAGGAAGTGACACAAACTTGAAAGAAGAAGTTTGGAAGTGGCAAGAATAGCAAGTTACACCAGTGAAGCATTTCTTGTTAGTGCACAAGGACCCATCCTCTTTCTTTCCTTAGCTGGGTACAATCACCCTACCTCATGACACAAGATACAAAGGCTCAGCAGTACTGCTTTGCTCTAATAAACCCAGATGAGAATCAACCACATTTATTTTTTACATGCTTTTGTCATACATAAATTTACTTCTTTTCTCTTTGAACACTTCTACTGGAAGATTTTTAACATTTCCAGCTCTACATGAGTCACAAATGGCAAAAGACACTCGAGAACTTGGCAAGCAGCTCCTCATCATCCCCTCTGCAATATCCCTCCAAGAAGGCAGCGAGCTGTTCTTACCACTGCTGGCCAATACGGGTACCTTCGCAATCTGCACCAGACCAAAATCCCTTCTTCAATTGACTGTGGTTCTATAGTGAAAAATAAGAGTCCTTTAAAACATGACAGAAGACAGTTAGCTTGTCCTCTCTCATCAGCCGTCTTTAGGGAGTTTGGCTGCAGTGCTTAACAGGTTTCAACCCCACCACCCCCAAAAATGCAGCCCAAGTAGTTCTGAATAGAGCAAGTAAGAGACTTCATTCCTAGGCCCTTGCCCAGTTTGCACAACAATTTGTATTTCATTCTGTTTCAAAAAGCCTCTCTGGGGCATCAATTAAACGCATTTTATTCCAAGCTTGAACAAAGCTGGAGTGAATTTCTGGGAAAGTTAGCTTTCATCACCATAGCTCATCAGCAAACTACAAGCACATGTATGCTAAAAAGAGCACACCAATCTTGGGTGAAGTCTCACAGAGGTACTCCGACATCTCACCTTGATGTGATAAAACACTAGGAAGTTCTTCATCCTCCTCCTCTTCATCTACCAGAGGCGAGAGGCGAGAGAGACTCTCTGAGGAAAGTATCTTTGAAGACAGGTCAGACGATTCCAGTCCTGCCAAGAGCAGCAAGCACCAGTGTTCAGAAGCACAGAACAGTGACTAAAAAGGATCAGCTTCAGCCCAGGTGAAACATAACCCTCGAAGTGCCCCTGCAGCCCCCAGAGTCACTGGCACACTAGGGCCAGTCCCAGCACTCCCATTCTCAATCCACTGCCTAGGTAAAGGCCTAATAATCTGAATAAAAGATGAAAAGGGGGAAGGAACAAGAAGAGGCTGGTTTCAGGACTTTACACCAGCCTGTTCTTTTATGTAGCGTCATTTTATCTCCAAATGGCCAGCAGCAAAGAAAAAACTAAGCACAAAATCAGCAAGTCCTCTAGAGACGGGTGAGAACTACTGCTAAATACAGGTGTCCAATGCCAAACCTTAAACAGCCCCACACAGCCCCAGTGCCACAGCAGCATTTGGCCAGTGATAAAGTGACTGTGTTTTCTCCGCTTCTCCAAAACTTACACCAAAAGGAACCAAAACCAGCAATTCAAGAACTGCATTGCTTTTGTGAATGCAACACTCCAAGATGAGTTACAGTGACCAAACCATCAAGCAGGATGAAGTTTTCCCTTCCACGAGGGACATACCCACCTTCATCTTCTTCAAAGTCAGGCAGCTGAAACTGCTTTACTTTATTCATGACCACAGGTGCAGTATTCTTACTTTCCTCTTCTTCACACTGTGAGGATTTGCTATCAGAAAGCACCCCTTCATTAGAAGGCCCAGATGAAGACTCAGGGCAATTCCTGCATTTCCTTTTCCTGTATGAAGATGCAGTTGCACCGATCTTTTGGTCTCCATTAACTTGTTTTAAACTCACTGGCTTTTTCCTTCCATCTAATTGCTTTGCCAGACTTTCACTGCTGGTGCTTTTTTCCAAGTCATCCAAGGCACTTTTACAAGAGGAATCCAGTAATGTCCTTTTAAGTTGACTTCTGGTCTTTGCACTTCTGACAGGTACCACTGTGCCAGATGTGCAGGGGACAGACTGGGCAGACCCCTCCTCAGCAAAAGGCTGTACTTGATCCTCAGGGAAATCATTCCTACACAACACAGGAAATCCTGCACTGCTTGGTTGTTTTCCTCCTTGCTTACTTTTTTCCTCCTTTGGTTTAGGGGAGACTTTATTTCCTGCTCTGGTTTTTGGCAACAATCTGGGCTCGATGGTTTTCTGTCTTGGTGGTGATTCCGATTCTGGTTCTTTGAAGTTCTGACTCTCCGAGTTCAGCGTACGAGACAGGTCCTCAGTCTCACATCTGGAAGGGTTTGTTCCACTTTCATGTGCTTCTGCACTCTCCTCCAAAACAAAAGAACCTTTCCAGTTTGTTTTTTCTAAACTAGTCTTCAGGCTGGGGCTATTTATTTCTTCTCCTTTCCTCTTGGAAGCCTGAGGCTCCAACCTATCTTTAAAGAAGCTACAAAAGGGAGTCAGTGAGAGAGATCCTGAATGGTTCTCCTGCGAAAACCGAGTACTTTGCCTGTTTTCTGGAGGTGGTACTTCTTTGGGTGAGTCACTTGGATTCAAAATATCCAGGGCAATTTTAAGAGACCGGCGATACCGCAGCTCTTCCACAGCCTCACTCAAATTATTCCTTTGATCTGATGAAGAACAACATACAATAACCTTCATTCAAATTTAAGAACCAAGAAGTCTCACTTATAGTGTATCTCTTGTTTAAGATGCAACTTAACACTCAAATCACCTGTGATTCTTAAGGCAAAGTATGCAGAGACACAAGAAGCAAGCCTCCAGTGCCTTACTTTAGGGGAAGTACACCCAAGTATCTTCAATGTTCCTCCCAACATGCTACCCAAGGGAAGAGCAAAAGCAGCTGTGATGTTGTTTCATCTATTTTCAGACTTTACAGATGGAATGGAAAGGAGAAAAAAATGCAAAAAGAAATCCCAAACCCACTCAATAAATACATAAGTGTAATATAGATCTACTGTGTATGATTACATTCAGAGTATATACAAGGCAGCAAATATTGTGACATTTCCTCACCTAAATTAGAGGCAATGTTCACTATATGTTCTTCCTTCAGTGGTTCAGCATCTGCACAGCTCACACTGATCCTGAAAACACAACAAAGCTGGCCAAAAATGTCACAGCACTAAACACTCATAAAAGCACAACACTGCTTTCACCTGGCAATAAACTTGGAATATCTTCCCCCACCAAAAAAAAAACCCACTTGTTAGGGGAAGCAAAGCAAAAAAGACAAATCTGTGAAGCATGTCTGAGCTAACAGTGAGTATGTTATTCACTGATGTTCCATGAGACACTACAGACAGCTCTACAAAGGCAACAGGGCTTGGGGTTAGCCTCTGTAAATCAACAGTCTGTTCACAGGTATCTTTAGATAAAGGAATTACGTTCTTTTAATGTTAGCATACAAACATGTAACAGTTAAACCGATACTTAACTGTTCTTTCAAACCAAGTATTTCAACTTCCAAAGAAATCTCCCTCGCAACTCCAGCTTTGCGCAAAACCTACATTAAAGAGAAAAACCTGCATTTAAAAAGTCCTTGACCAAGTGTCCCGAGTTCAGCTGTAGCAGTCATTTTTCCCCTTCTCAGTAGCTGGTGCAGTGCAGGGGATTGGAACTATATGATCTTCCCATCCCTTCCAACCCAAACCATTCTGTTATTCTATGTTTACTTGGAGCTCTCACTAACTACACTGTTTTAACCATTTCTAAGTTATATCCATCAACCTGTCCTCATTTAGACACCTGCTTTACCTTTGCTGGCCATAAACGCTTCTTCCAGGTGCAAAGAACATACTCTTGGTCTGTCATGACTGTGTTTCATGTAGTAAAGGAAGATTCCAGTGTGCTCTGAAGACAAAGGGAATAAAGGAGTTACCCACCACTCGGTCCATTTCTGACTTCCCTTTTTTTAAGGGATACAGGACCTACACAGAACACATGGTTACAGTTATGCGTGTCTGCCTATTGAGATTATCATTACTTTGGATGCATCCTCCCAGGTTAGGGTCTAACAGTGTGTCTTCTTGCAGCCGCGCACCATAAGATGGCTTTACTGCGTACACAGACAAACAGTGCCACACATCGATCCACAAACACCGCAGCGGGCCTGCTCATTCGGCCACACAACAGCGGCCGCTTGGCCCATTCCCCGGTTACGCCCCGCGGTGCCGGTTTTACGCAGTTAACGATTTTAACCCGGCTGAAAGAGCTACGGAGCCCTTCCGAGGTTCTCCGCCTGGAAAAGCTTTAGGAAAGCCCCACCATGACCAAGATGGGTTTCCTGCGCCTCCAAAGCCGAGGCCTCGGCTCTACCGCCGGGAGGGAGCCGTCACCACAGCACCGAACGCCACGGGCCCGGGGCGCGCAGGAGGCTCCAACGGCCCCACCTCAGTCACCGCCTCCCGCCCCACCTTCCCCCCCGGCTTCCACCGCCGCCCCACCGGGACCCTCCGGCCAGGGGGGGCTCCCGCCGCTCCTCACCCCGCCGTTAAAGCAGACGGGCGGCCCCGTGCGAGAACGCGGTTACCGTGCGCGATCGGGACGCAGCCACCGGCCCCAAACCGCCTCCGTCCATATCAGGCCTCACCCGCCCGGCTCCTGCGCATGCGCAGCCCCGCACCGGGAAGGCGGCAGCCAATCAGCGAATCCCCCTCGCGCCTAGGTCACCGCCTTCCCGCTGCCAAAACACACTGCCTCCAACCAATCAGAGCTTCCGTTTCTCCCTGAGCTCCGCCCACTAGCTCTCCTTCTATTGGACTGTTCGGGACGCGCCCCGCCCCACTGCGCTGCCGTTACTCCCCTTCCCCGTCGAGGCGGTGACGTCAGGCCGCAGGGCGGGGCGTCTAGTGGACGTCATGTTGACGTAATCACGTGAGGGTGCGGCCCGTGCGCGCTCCACCGCCCGCCCGGCCTCCGGGGCCTGCCCGGTTCCGCCCCAGTTCTTACCTGGAGCCGCCGCCGGGACCGCAGCGCTCAGCCCGGCCCCTCCCCCGGGGCTACGCGGAGCCGCCTTTTCTAACGGAACATTACCGGGATTTGCCTTATTTTGCGGGGTTTTAGGTTACTTCGCGGCCCTCAGCCCCGTGGTGATGCCAGTAACCGCCGTCCCCCTGAGGAGATCCGCAGCTGGAGGCGGTGTTCGGGTGTCGGGAGCTGGAGAATCCATTGTCACATGGAAATGGGTTAAAAAAGGCAGGAAAAAGTAAACCCCAAACGGCTTTCAGGGAGTCGGGGCTTGCCCGCTCAGCTCTGGGACCTCCGGGGAACAGCAGTGAACACAGAGCCCAGGTGATGATGTTGGATACTTTATTGACTTTCTTTACTTTATAAATACCTGCAGTATCGGCAATGTCACCACTACACCGAAGTAGTCAGTAAAACACATCCTGAAAACAGCTACAGACCAATATTGGCTTTATTCCCTTAGTTTCTTACTACCTTTTGAGTACTGATACTTGTGGAATAATACTGTGTAACAGAAGAGGCAAACTCCTTTTCTTTGCTTACAGTTTTCCCTCCAGCGGCTTCCATCAATGAAGACACTTGTTACTTGCTGATACCTAACTGATGCCTTCATTCCCGTTATTTTGCCGGATCAGGAGTGCTCAACACTGCTGGCCTGGTCCTGCAAGGCGTTTAAATGTGTATTTCGTGCCAGACGATAGCGAATAGTCAAATTTTAAGCCCCACGTTAGTGAACAAAATGGTAAAAGTGGAGTTCTGGCCCCACTGGGGTAAATGGGGACACATGATGGAGTTTGAAGGACAGTGTCACCCGAAGGATGGGATAAAGAGCGGAGCTGGGTGCACTGCAAAGTTCAGCCCTCTGTATTAAATAAAAGAGAGAAAACAAACTGCCCCCTCCCAAACACACAGAAAAAGATGGGATGTTTCCCCTGCCGAAGCCCTCTCCCATGCTGTCGGTGATCGCTTTCTCTCCTGCTGTTCATCTGCTTCCCCACTGAAGGTATGACTGGGAGTTCATTAAAATGAAAGCACATTTCTGGCCGAGACCTGATATTTCCCCAATTAAAAACCCTTTTGAACATCCCGTCCCTGAATTCGGCTTTGCATGCACCCTAAACAGAAATGTCATGTGGTATGGATCAGCCCTTACGCGTAATCTTTATGGTTTCTGCTTGTGCTCTGCATCAACACGAAGCTCTTTGTGTTACGTTTGCCTTTGCTGCCATTGGAGCTCTGCCCGATGCCCAGGTTCTGCATCACCAAAGCCTCAGGTTGTGTTTGCCACCTCTCCTTCATCACCTATGGTGTCCCCGTGCTGGAAAAATGAACTTTGTGCACAAATTTTGACCCTTTTTTGCTTGAATGTGCTCTAAGTGCATGGCCCAACCGGCCGGGGGTGCAGGTTGAGGCAGCACCTCAGGTCAGCAAACCCGGCACTGGCTTTTTGGCTTCTCCCGCATTAAATATGGCTTTTCCTGACTGATTGCTTGTTCTGTATTAAAATCTGCACGTGCTCATCCTGTGGCTTGGTCAATAACAGCCTGAAAAAAGTCTTTCCAATAAGTTTGTCAACTGATTTCGCTAGACTTAAAAAAAAACAACCCAATACATATAAACTCATTGTCCTCCCTCCGGAAACAACAGCACCATTACAGGTTACAAAGTCTTCCAATGTGCTGTGGAAAGAGCTGCATTGTTCTTGGTTAAAACTCATATGAATGGCAACCTGGAACACCAAGGAAGAGGCCAGACAAGCTGCGTTCCCAGTCTGGGACAATCCAGCCACCATCATGTACCCACAGCAAGGCTGAAGGTGGGAACAAATGAAGCTGGAGTGGAACAAAAGCACAAGTCAGAGTTTGTCTACCATCTAGAGATAATAAAGGAACCACTCACTAACACCTTTTCTTCAGATAGGATCAAACAGCTGGGTCCAAAGGCTCCTACAAACCATGTCTAATAACAGCAGTAAACCTACAGCTGCGTCTGGTAAGAGGGATTGGAGATGGAACATGGATGGTCAGTGATAACCCAGATGCACCCATTCCCTAAAGAAACCCTTAAGGACTATTTACAGGAACTTACAAAACGCTGTTGTAAAGGCAGCTTCCTGCCTGTGTAGGTAAGCTGAAAGAAATCCTTTTTCTGCTGTTTTGCTCCTTGGTTTTTAAGCCACTTGGGATCTTTTCAAGCCACAGTGGCCAAAACTGTTCATTTGTTGGAAGACAGAGTCACCAGCCTTGTTTTCCTCAGTCGGGTCCCTACAGACACACATTCACAGCGACCAGCTACAACTGCACCGGCAACAGGACACTAAACAAGGACGCTCCACACCACGGATCATGGGCTCCTGACACACACTGACACTCGGGGCACTCCTGTCCCAACGGCTTCCCCCACCTTTCCCTGTGCCAGCTTCCAAGGGTCAGTGGGGTGCTGCTTGTGGAGGCTGCGGTGAGGCGGCACCGGTGCCGGGCACGTTAGCTCTGGCAGCTGGCGCTGCTCACAGGAACCTTGGGCACGGCGGGGCGGTCGCTCTGGAAAGCTTCGAGGTCCTCGGTGGTGGCGGTGGCTTCGTGGCCAGCGGTCCCTGTGCCCTGGGGCAGGCGGGCTCCCCGGGGAGCCCTCTGGCTGCGCCCGCTGCGGGAGCAGTCGTGGTGACCGTGGTTGCCCAAGCGGCTGGAAGCCACCACGGCTTTCATTGCAGCCTGTTGCAAAGGCACAGTGGTGTGAGCAGTTAGCAGCATGTCTTAGGCAGATGTTTCCCCTTCTATGCGTTCCCTGAGATGCTCGAGCCCCGCGGGAGCATGCAGAGAGAGCGATGGCGCCCGCTTCTCCAACCCAGCCCTTCGCTTCAGGCAAGGCTTTTCCTTTGTGCTCTGTCGTCCTTCATCCCTGAGCTGCCACGTGTCACTGAGCATTTATCTGCTCAAGGCAGGGGATCCTTAAAACCCAGAGACAGCAGCTCTGATAGCCCCAGTTGTTTGCACAAGGGGAACGTGAACACGAGCCACCCCCGGGGGTTTAATGGGGCTTTTTCACCTTTACCTTCAGTTTTCTCCTGGCATTAAATTCCTGCAGTTTCTTCTGCGTGCTGTCCATGTGAGCGAATTTAGCTGCTTTCCCTGTGACCCAGGGATGCTCCAGAGCCTGGTGGACGGTCAGTCTCTTCCGGGGGTCCAAGACGATCAATTTTCTGACCTGTAACCAATGAAAAGGCCTCATTTGCCTCAAAAGCCCCTGGTTTTGTTATCCCACAAGCATTGATCTGAAGCCTTCACACTCAGCAGCCCTGAGCCCTGGCGCTACCTCACTCACCAAATCCTTGGCGTTGAGGGAAACCTCATCCCACCACGGGGACACGAACTCATAGTCGCAGGTGAGGATGCGGCTGTACATGTACTGGTCCCCTCGTGGGTCGAAGAAGGGCTCGAAGCCACAAAGCCTGTGAGCACAAGAGAGGAGCTACACACTGCTGCCTGGGCCCCATGGCACAGCCAGGCCAGAGTTTGCCAGCAGCACACAGTGGGCTGAGGTGGAGCAGCTGGTGGTTCCACTGCCACCCTCAAGTTACTCACAGGATGTAGGTGATGACACCCACAGACCACATATCCACTTCAGGGCCATACGGGCAGCCATGGAGGATTTCAGGGGCTGGAAGCAGAATTTGGGGTTCAGATGCACAGGTGTGGGGAGCTCCCCGCAGAGAAAACACCTCATGGGTACCGTTAGCACCTCCTGATGCTGGCGTAGCCATCAGCCAGGCCTATGCTGAGCAGCAGGGAGCAGCCCTCGGATCCCCCTCCCTCTTCCCTGGCTCTTCCCTCCTGCTCACCGCAGTATCCCGGCGTGCCGCAGACGGTTTTCATGGTGTCCTGTTCATCCACAATCTTGGAGAGCCCAAAGTCACCTTGAGGGACACAGAGAGTGCAGCGCTGCCGTCAGGGGAGGCACTGTTAGCTCCTCTTTGTGCCGCAACCCCCCCCGGCAAACCCACCGATTTTAAGGGGAGCATCAGGGGACAGGTCTGCATAGAGCAGGTTCTCCGGCTTCAGGTCACGGTGGACGACCCCGTTTTCATGCAAATACTATAGAGGGAAGAAACAGGGATGTGGTAAGGGAGGGAAGGGGCAGAGAATCCCCATCTGCTTCAGAGAGTGATCGGGGGTGACTGGGCACAAACACGGCACCAACTCGCCCAACTTTGTCCTTTGGAAACACCCAATGCCTGCGGTGCTGGCGCGGCTGCTGGGCGTGGGAAGGACACTTCCCATTGTGAGTTTCCATTTTTAAACCCTCCTGTTGCTATAGAAACCCCATCTCCAGCAGCCCCGTGATGCAGAGCAGCGCTGACCTTCCTCCCTCCTCCTTCATCCCCCCAAATGTGGATTGGAAGAGGCCCCTCCACCAGCGAAACCTTTGGAGGGCCAAGGGTGAGAGGGGTATTTGGGAGGGTGCAGCCCCCACAGTGACAACCCTGACCCACCGAGGGTCACCTCACCGAGACAGCTTCCAGGATCTGTTTGACCACATGGGCTGCATCCCGCTCGCTGTAGAAGCCCCTCTCCACGATCCTGCAGGCACATTGGGTCAGCACAGCAGCACCCTGCCCATATGGAGCCCCTTCACCCTCTGTCCCCCAACCATGGTGTGCATCAGGCTCCTCCATCCTCATCCTCATCCTCCCCCTGCCATCAGGGTGGAATTCATCCTCCCTCCCCCCCCATTAGGAGCCAGGATGGGGATGATGGGGCTGGGTGTACCTGTCAAAGAGCTCTCCTCCCGTGACCAGCTCCAGGATGAGCGCGATCTCAGACAGGGTCTCAAAAATCTCCTTCAGCTTGATCTGAAAGGGGCAAGAGGGATGCAGATGTGGGATGCAGAGGCTGTGCCAGGAGGAGCATTTGGCCACTGGGGTGTGAGAGGTTTATTGGGACAACCGGCACGTTTCCCTCCTTGCCTTTGTATTTGTCTGAACGTGATTTGTTCTAACGCTTGTAACAGCCCTGCTCACTTAATCATGCGTTAAAGGCGATGCTGGGAATGGGAATACAGGCATGCGGCGCCTTTATCCTCCTCCCGTCTCCAAGCTCATTAGCTGGAAGAGGAGCTCACGAAAAGCTTTTTGATTTCACAGCTTCCTCAGCCATGCTGGCACCTTGTCCAGCCCCACAGCAAAGCCCTGCCCTCATCCTTCCTGGGACCCATTCTGCACAGCTACACTTGCAAGGATGTGGGATCGATGCATGGAACCCCAAGAGCCCAAAGCCACCTCTGGGACCCTACGGGCACTTTTGGCAATGGCCCTTGGACCATGTTTTAGCAAAAGAGGTACTAAAGGAACTGGTTTCCTCATGATTTTGGGAGGTTTTAGCTCCCACACGAGGTGAGTTTGTCTGCAAGAGACCTTTGTGCCACTGCAGCAGATCTGGAATTCCCAGGTCTCTCTTAAAACTACGTCAAAATGCATTTTTTTTATTTTTTAATGGAAAACTGAGAATTTCACACTTCTTAAGACTTTTGTGACACTGCGAATTTCATGGGGCTTTAATCATTACCTTCATAGGCTGGGTGACAAGCCGTGATACCCTGCAGGGTGAGAGACACTATGTGGCAGCTTATTGCATTATAATAATACACGGAAGCACTATAATTTTCCTATTAACTTCAAAAGTTTACAATCCTATTATCATCCGCTCTTGAGGTCGGTGCTGAACGATAGCGAGCGCACAGGCAGCACCGGCGTAAATAATGAAACAGAGCAGCTCTGCTTCAAAAACCCACTTGAACCTGGGAGTGAGCGGAACCCTACAGAAAACGCAGGGATTTAAATATTAAACCTGCCCGGCTGGTTCCTCCTCACGTCTCCGTGGAGCTGCTGCCTGGGGAGGAAAGGAGGAGGGGAGGCACTAATGGAATCTTCTGTTGCGTTTCGGATGACGGAGCCTCTCCCCAGCCGTGGCTGATCCCACACCAGCGGCTGCTCTGAGTGATGCTCCCCATCCCTGTGTCTGCCCAAACGTCCTGGGAGTGGGGAAATGCCTCCGAGGAAAAGGCTGAAGTGCCTGATAGCTCCAAAACCCTAGGACACCCTAAGGCAGGGCTGTGCCGAGCTGGCCAAGGGGCTCAGGGACGCCCCAGTTTCAGCGTTGTTTGCCTCCACTGTCCCTGGTTTTAGGATGTTTTGGGCTTCTCTTGGCTTCACCTCTTTGCATCAAGGATTTGGACTGTTGGGGATGGTCAGGACATCCCCACAGGGGAAAAGCCTCATTGCTCCAAGGAGGGTTGACATGGGCTGGGCTGGAAACAGCTGTGCCCAGGGTTTTAGAATCATCGGATCACACAACGGTTTGGGGTCGAAAGGACCTTAAGTTCATCCAGTTCCAGCCCCCTGCCATGGAGGGTGTTTTGAGGCACACTGCAAAAGAAATGGCAGCCTGGGCAGCAAGCACCAGCAGCAAAGTGATGTGCTGGCCACAGAATCAATCGGAGTGGGGTCTGCTGCACCCCTGCAGCACCAGCACTCAGCTGCCAGGTGGGTTTTGTGTTATTCCCTTGACTCCAAGATGCTTTTGCAATTTGCCAGTGGAACTAAGCAGCGGGGAATAAGCCTTTTTGGCCTGGGGAGGGATGGGGATGGAGCAGAGCCCCCAGGTCCCTGCCATTGCAGAGGGGCCGACACGGTGGCCCTGGCTTTGCTGACACCGGCTGTGATTAGATCCGCTCTGGGCGTTGCAAATCATTCCAGCCAAGCTGCTGTTATCCCCCGAGCGCTGAGCAAGAGAAACGGCACTGGCTGTGCTGGGACGTGGAACCCACAGCCCTTTTATCTCCCCTTGCAGGATTCATTACAGATGGGCAATTTTCAGTGGTGTTCATTTGATCTCCTCGATGGAAATTGCTTACCAAATGGAAATCTCAGGCCAGGAGATGGGGGGTGTGGGTGGAAGAGGAGGGAGCCTGGCCCTTGGTGTCAGAGATGGGAAGCTCAAAGGCACTGCAAGGACCATGATTTTCATGCCTGTGTGCCAGGCAGGGAGCGGACACTGGGTGCAGGCAGGGGTAGTGGGTTCATCCTGCACCGGGATGGGATGAGGACAAGGACACCCCAGCCCTTCCCTCGGCACCACTGGGCTGCCTGTGGGAAGCGTTAAGGGGACCCAAGCCAAAGGGAGCTGCGAGCTGTGCCATGAGGGCTGTACTCACGATATTGGGGTGCGAGAGCCGCAGCAGGACCCCGATCTCTGTCCTCACGATCTTCTTGTCGATCTAGAACACAGAGCCCATGCAGAAGCAGCATTACCTGAGCTGCCAGGGCTGGCTCCAGCCCCCTGCCATGCAGACACCCCCTCCCCATTGCTCCCTGCAGGTTCCCATGTTTGTCCCAGGGCCTGTTTTCAGCAGCAGAATGCACCCATTACACACCCCCCCTCCCCATCTGCACCCATAGCCCGAATAACAGCCCCATCCCAGTCCCAATGTGCTTTGGTAGCAAAGTCACCTCCCACCCTGCCAACACTCACCGTCTTCTTCAGGACCTTGGCAGCGTATGGGGTGCCCGTGCCCTTCTCCTGGCAGCTGTAGACCACCGAGGTGGCCCCCCTGCAGAAGGTTTGGGGGTGCTTGAGGTGGTGTGGATGGAGCAGGGGGTTCTGCTCACCCCGTGCCCCCCCCCAGACCTTTGCTAGTGCCTAGCGCACATCCGCCTCCTTGTGCGCCCCATTCCCTGCATCGTTTCCAGCTTTCCTGGGTAAAGCCATTTTAATTAAACCAAGTCCTAGATGGGATTTAAATCCTTAAGCTGCTTTCACGACAGGACAGAGCCTCCCTCTTCCCACTTGTGGCCACAGGGACCGCGGGGATGCTGTGTGGGTCCCAGCCGTGTCCCTGACAAGGCCACGGCACACAGGACGATCCCGTGTCACTGCAAAACCTCTCCATCAGGTTAAACCACTGCAGGTGACAAGAGGGATCGTTCCTGTTGAACCCCCAGCAGTGCCCCCAGCTGCCAGTGATCTTTAGATCGAGTGAATAACAATTTTTTAGCCACTGGACAACAAAATCAACCCATTGCCTCAGGTCATTACAGGATTAATTTGCAATTTCATCTTTGCTGCCTGGCTCCTTTGAGCAGATTAATTCTCACCCCTGAAAATCAGCCACATTTTACTGCTCTTTGGCTTCACCATCTTCTGGGACCCAAGTTCAGGTTCAGCTCAAGGTGCGTGGCACCGCCAAGCACCCACAGTGAAAAGCCAGCTGCACGCCAGGCACCATCGTTCACACCAAAACCTCCTATGAGACCAAGACCAATGCACAGCGTGGCTGGAAGTGACCCATTTGCTGCAGCCCCATGTGCTGGATGCGGTCCCTGGGGTGCTCTCATGACAGAGAGATTTGCTTTAGAAACAAGGGCGGATTTTGCAACTCATCTGGCTGAACTTGGGAATCACGTTCCCATGGCAACAGCAGAGCTGGGTACCGGGTACCACAGGGATGCTGCGGGATGAACAAAACCCGGCACTTCTAGGCCACTTGCAAAACATTTTCCTCCCTTTGCTCAACGTTTTCTATGAAATCTTATTTTGCAAATAAAAAGCAATTTGGAAACAAACCGCTCAGGTTTGGAAGGGGAGAGGTGGCTGCTCCCACCTTCTCCAGCTCAGGAAAGTGAGGAGAAGCCTTCGATTTGAACCCAAAATGGCATTGCTGCTGCAGCACCCATTAACCCATTCCCAGTGGGAGAAGGAGCCACCCAGAGCTCTCCTGTAGCAGCTCAGCTCCTCGGGCACCGTTTCCAAACGCACCAGGGTTTTGCAGTACCCCAGCAGCCACCTGCACTCCTCATCCCTCTCATCTCAGCTGCATCCCAGCCCAGACCCGCCGCCTGTCGCCTTCCCACATGAGGTTCTCCCCACAGACAGTTTGCAGCCTGATTCCTGCTGCCAACAGGATCATTTCGAAGCCCTCGGCTCCGCATTTAGGAGGTGCAGGGGCCGCTCCTCAGGCACGGCACAACCCGCTGTGCCCATGGCGATGCGCCGGCTGCCCCTCCCGCGTTCCCAATTACAGCAGCGGCTGGATCCGTGCCGGCATTCGCTACACCCCAGCCCCTCGCCCCGCTGGCCCCGGCAGCCGCTGCTCTCGCTGCTGCTTAAAGCCTTGAATAAATCTCTGCAATCAACCTTGACTGCGACAGGAGATAATTGCATTTGCTTTACAGATGAACTGGAAAATGTTGAACAATGGGATTTGCCACAAGAGCCTGACGGATGGACGGGGGCTGGAGCAGCCCGTGGAGCACCAGGGCCAGCCCGTGGAGAGGACGGTAGGACCTGCACTGCTCAGAGCCTGTCTCTCTGTCCTACCCCCATCTGTGCAGGGCTGCGTGGTGCTGAGCCCTGCGCTGACACTGGCCACACCTCAGTAAGAAGCCCTAAATGGTTTTGCTGGAGCTGATAGGTTTAAGGCTCAAAGGCTCCCTTGCAGATGGCTGGGGCTGACCCAGCCTCAACCACCACCACCACTGCAAACATCTGCTCCAGGGCTTGGCACCAGCGCTGCCTCTGCTGCCCCACAAACAGGACTGTCAGACCTTCCACCCAAGGGTTCCCTGCACCCCCTTGGATCCCCGTTGTCCTGAGCGTGCTGGGACACCAGAGACAAACCTGTCCCATGGTTGGAAGCTCCCAGCACCGCTGCTCTCCTCAAAGGGGCTCAGGAGCTGGGCCTGGGCATCTCCAGGATGCATCCTTGCTATGGGGCATCAGCAGCCTCCAGGCCCAGACACTTGGCACCAGCCCTGGGCTCTGCATCCTGCGGGGCCCTGCAAGGGCTTGGGAAGCGGCCAAGCAGCCACGTGTGCCAAGACCAGGACAAACCCGCCAGGGAAGGAGAGATGGGCAGGTTTAAAACACATCTCCTGGCCACCCCAGCACGAATGGCACACAGCACCCGCAGGACCTCCCGTGTCAGCCCTGCTCTTCCCTGCCTGTAAGGATTTATGCTAGGGCCTCTAAAAAACAAGTCACGAGAGCCTCCATCAAGCAGTTGGTGGCTGCTGAGGTGGCTCTGCTCTGAGCCACCACACAGGGATGGGGACATTGGTGGTCCTCAGCAGGGCTTCCTGAGCCAGGTGGGATAAATCCAGATCTGGGAATAAACCCCTGTGGGGCTGTGTCTGTTTGCAGGGGCTGCTGCAGGAGGGACCCACCGTGGCCCCGCACTGTGTCAGGCTCACTGCTCACCCCCCCAAAGCCTTGGGCTGCTCAGAGGTGAGACGAGTTACACCAGAAGCCCGCTTCCCACCCACAGGGGTGAGAACCACGGACACAGGAAAGGGGGCCCCATGCTGCAAGCCCCCAACCCTGAAACCATCGCTGCATCATCACGACACAACCCAAGCTCCAGCTTAGGCGTGAGGGCAGGGTCTTCTGCTTTCCACCCCCCCTTATCCATGCTTCCATCCCCGCCACGTCCCTCCTCCCTCCAGGCCGGTCCCTGCCCCAGCCAGGACACGCTCCCATGCCAGGAGGGCTCCTGCCCCCGGCATTCCCTGCCCACCCCCCCCAGCAGCCGGTACCGTCCCAGCTCGGGGCCCACGACGTAGAAATCTTCCAGGGCTGCCTTGCGGTGGGAGCCGTCGATCCAGTACTCGCTGCTGCTCTCGGAGGAGGGCATGGTGGCCCGGGGGCAGCAGTCTCCTGCCAGCTGCTCGGAAGAGGAGACCCAGGCATCACCATGTTCCCCCCCCCCCCGCGTGTGAGAGCCCAGATGGCCCAGCAAAAAGCAGCGCTTGGGATTATCGAGTGTGATGGAGCTGCAGCCACAAATCTCCTTCCCCGCAGGCACGTACGCTGCCTTTTCTGAGCCTATACCCCCCACCTATTTCATGCCACCCCCAGCTTTTCACACCACGCTCCCCGCTTCCTCCCTTTCCCACCCTATCCCCACCTTTGTGGGACGACCTCGCCTTTTCAGGGGGCCAGACCCCACGCTCAGAGCCCAGGCTGTGCCCCAGGGACTGGCACGTGGGGTATTTGCTGACCCCCCAATTCCTGCAGTCCCACCCAAACCCACGCTAACATCGAGCACCCCCCCTGCCGCGGGCCTCTTTGCAGCCCCGGTTTGATGGCCCAGCACTCACCGTTAGCTGTGGGGTCGCTGTGCAGCGGAGCCGTGTCCCCCCCAACGCTGCTTCATCCCCGGCGCGGGCCGGTGCGTGCTGGGTGCGGGGCCCGCTCAGCCCCGCGCACCCCGGTGCTGGCGCTGGGCCTGGCCGCAGCCCCCCGGTCCCGTTGCTGCCAAGCGGAGGGCAGGGCCCCGCGCTGCTCTCCACCGCGGCCGTGTTAGGGCTGAGCTCCTCGGCCGCGCTCCGCAGGGCGCTGGGCAGCGCTGGAGCGCGGGGATGGAGGGATGCAAGGATGAGAGGATGCAGGGATTATGGAGGACCGCAGGGATGCCGGGAAGCGGGACCGCAGGGATGCAGGGAGGGAGGAAGGTGGGGATGCGGGGCCGGGGTGGGTGCACCGGGACCCTCCCAGGCAGCATCACCGCTCTCCCGTTCGGCTCGGCCGTGCCACCCCTCGGCCCGACGTCGCCACTGCACCGCGTCCCGCAGCCCCCCGGTGCCGCCGGCTGCGATGGGCGCCGGGGGCGGGCGCAGGGCGGCCCCGGGCCCCTGCCCCGCGCTGCAGCCGCTCCTCATCGCTCGCAGCCCGGAGCCAGGCCGGGGGCACGCGGGGAGCGCCCGGAGCCCCGTGGGTCCCGATCCCGGTCCCGATCCCGGTCCTGCGCGGGCGCTGCCGGACGCGGCCGCACGGTGACGCCGTCGGCCGAGGGATGGGAACGGGGGGAGAAGGGAGGGAGGGGGCGGGCCTCAAATTGGGATTGGGGCGGGATTGGTTTGAGAGGAGGGGGTGGGAATGGGAGGGGGGCACGGCAGGAGACGGGGCGGGAGGATGGGATGGGATGGGATGGGATGGGATGGGATGGGATGGGATGGGATGGGATGGGATGGGGTTGAGGTGGGATTGGGATCGGGGCTGTGCTAGGGCCAAGAACAGGATGGGAACGGAGACGGGATTGCGGATGAGGATGGGTTAAGATGGACGTGGGGCCAGGGGATGGCAATGGGGATAGGGGTTGACTTGGGGTCGGGGTGCAATTGGCCCCATGGCTGAGGAGAGCCCCGAGGGGTTTTGTGTTCGCCGAGCAGGAAGTTTCTCCTGGAGGTACAAGGGGAGGAGATGAAACAGCGTCAGGTCCGACAGTGAACAAGCAGGAGGCTGGGGCGGGGGTGGATGTCAGGGACATGCTCCATTCCCCCCCCCCCCCCTTGCCAGACGTGTCCAGGAATGGGGCTCCTCTTGCTGCGGGGCCTGCCCAACGCTTATCCCCAAAGCTGTGAGCCAGGAGCAGCTCAAATATTGGAACTAGGGAGAGAATCCTGTGGGGCAGCAACCCCCATGTCCCCCATGGGCTGCGGCGATGCTGCACGGTCTCCCCCAAGCTGCAGCATGAATGGAGACCCGCATGGAAGGCAGCAAAGGTCTCACCAGCACGAACCCTTCTCTTTGTAATGGGTTTCCCAAGTATTTATTAGAATATTGAATCACATCTGAGGGAGGCAGCCTCAGCCCTGCTTGATGTGGTCTGGTTGCAACTCTCTTTTGAAAGGGATGTTCTTAAAGGGAGTGACCTGCTAAGTGAGTACATTGACTCAGCCTCCGTTTCTCCCTGTCCTGACACGTTGTGGAGACGAGGGTGGGCTGGAAGAGGCTGGCTCGGAGAATTAATATTTATCACTCCATCCAGAACAAGCACAGACCCCCCCCATTCATCCCCATCAGAAGAGCGAGGGCTGTGTCTGAAGAGCATAGGCAGCCCCTTCCCTTCAGTAACTCCCCTCTTAGCAAAGAGGCTGCAATCCCACCCGCGGTGCCCCCAGACCCCCACTTTGCCACCCATGGTTGGGGGGCACCTGGTGGAGCATGGATCCACTGGGCGATGGCAATGGGTGCGTGATGGCAGACGGGCAGCCCCGCTCCCCTGCGCACCCCATCAGCACCAAGGGGAGCCAGAACCATCAGCTGCAGCCCAGGCCTCCAGGCGGTGGGAAGGGGCTGGAATGCACCTCCCAGATTCAGGCCTGGCACCAGACGAGCTGCCCCAGGAACCTGCCCATCGTCCTGATGGCTCAGTGGGAAGAGGAAAGCCTCCAGCCTTTTGTCTGCGGGAGAGGAATTAATTATTTTGTTCTTTCGTCACACTGGAATGAAATCCATTTTAGAGCAGCATAAATTTAGGTGCCTGAAGTCCCCTTCTTTTTTCTTTATTTAACATCCCAGGAAACATTTTTCTGCCCTTCTTGCCCTTTTCCAGATCATTTCTGTCTCACTGCGTGGCCGCCAGTGTTCAGGATGAAGCACGGGATGGCAGGGCATTAACTCCAGCAAAAGGGCTGCGTGGGGCACGGAGGGCAGGAAGATGAGGCCATAGCGGGGACCCCCGAGGTTCCCTGAACCCCACAAGCTGCCAGCATTGGGCAAAGCACGGCCTGAGCACGGCAGCCTCTGGGCCACCTCCTGCCACCGAGCGATGCTCAATGGGTCAGAACGGAAAATGGAAATGAATACAGAAGTTCAGCTCCCCCAGCACACGCACCCCAGCGCTGCTCGCCTTGCCCATTGAATGGCACGAAGTAAATGAGGGCAGAGCTCACTTAAGCCAGACAAGGACACAGAGCATCCCCCCCCCCGGCTACCTGGGGGTGTTCAGCATTCCTGCCAGGAACCGCTCATTAAACCTCTAAAAGACAGCTTAAGGGTCCCATTAGAGCCTCTCAGGTCTGTCCTTCCTTCCCTCACAGATACAGGAGAGGCCGGCGAGCACAGGGAGCGGGATCAGAGCTGGTGATGGAGGGACAGGGTTTGCAGACCCGCTGCGGGGCCGCATCCTTCCCCATTCATCAGCCGGGGCTGTGGGAGCATCGCCCCAGCTCTGGCAGGGCAGCACAGCCCAGCCTTGCACAGGCCGTGGGTGCTGAGCCTCCCCATCATCAGGGTGTCCCTGGCGGTGCTCCCAGCTCCGTCTCGAGCACCGACTCCTGCTCTTGGGGCAGACCCTGCTGCTTTTGCTGGTGCATTCACACCTCCAGCCTTTGCATTCCCCATCCACCCACTGGCAAGCATCGGGACCAGGGCAGAGCCCACCCAGCATCTCCCCTCTCCCAGAGGAGGCTCAGGCATTCAGCATTTCCCTCTTTAAACAAAGGCAGCGTCTCCTTGTGCTGCTCCTTCCTCCTCCTGCTCCTCCACTTCCTCTTGCTTTCCTTTCTCCTCTCTTTTTTTTTGTGCCACCAGAAATGAGTTGTCTTCCCGCAGATGTGACTAAAAGCACTCTGGAAATGTCAGCCACTGCTCGAAAGGGACCCAGATAACATTTAGCTTTAGGTAAGAGAGTAGATTTTCTCTGCGCTAATTCATATTTATAAGCTCTCCTGTTCCCGGGGAGAGCGCGGCACTGATAGCACTTGCTGATTGCTAGCGAGCGGAGCAGGGAATTGTTTTCATATCTGAGATTAAAGAGTGCTTTCTGCTCCCAGTGGCACCTGTGTACTTACACTGGTCATTCTCAATTCATTCTTATAAGATTAAGACTGGAAATGGGAAATGGTTATATAGTGCCGAGCCCAGGAGAGGCTGGGGGCTGCGGGGGGACAGGGTAGCGCCGGCTCGGTGGTCCCAGTGCATGGACACCCAAGGCAGAGGGAGCAGAGCCCAGACCCTGCGCCGGGGACAGCCCGGTCCTTTGCCAGGGGGCTCTGCAGGGTTTTCCTGATGGGAATGCTTCAAGATGCAAGCTCCTTGCCCAGATCCTATGCGGATGGATGGCACCGATAGCCGGAGCGGGCAGAGACGGATGCGAGCACGCGATGGGTTAGGTGAAAGCTTTGTTTCTATTATTACTTTTCAACACATCTTGGGGTTTGTGTCGGCTGATCAAAAGCAAACAAGTGGAGCCCTTTGCAGCGGATCAAGGGTTTGGGAACTTTCAGAGCTTTTAGTTTTTATCTTTTTTTAAGTCATGTTTGCAAAGTGGCTGAGCAGCCCCCAAGAGGGTCAGAGCCGGAACATGGGGGAACAGAGAAACCAGGGATTGCAGGGCCTGGAATTAGGGGGAGGAAAGGGGGGAAAGCAAAGGGGAGGAGGGAGAGATTGGGGTGGAAAGGGAAAAAGGCGAAAGGAGAAACAAGACAATGGCAGAAGGCACCCCGGGGACTTCCTGAGAGGTTTTAGAAATTCAAAGTACGCCTTAGAGCCTCAAAGCTGTGTCAGTCACAGCCCGGGCGCAGGGATCACCGAGGCTGCGGCCGAACAATACCAGATTGTGTGAGGAAGGTGGGAAAATAGGGGGTCTCAGCGGCTCCCACTCACACCAGCGGTTCCGCTCGTCAAGCACGCGTTCCACATGAATCAATTCTGGACAGAGCCTCGGCATAATCCCCGCCAGCCTCGCTATGACAACTTGAAGGAGAATTCGGCGCCTGAGTGACAGCAGACACAGAACTGACAAGGCAAAAGCCTGCAGGACTTTCCTTCCCTTTCCCCCCCCCTCCTCCTTTTTTCTCTTCCCTCTCCCCTTATCCCCCTTCCAGTAACTTTTCCTGGGCCGCTGGTTTGGGTGCTCACGCATCCATGGGTTTGTGCACTCACACGTGGGTGCTCCCCATGCCCGCGCTGCCAGAGGGGCTTTGCTCTCTCCTTGCAGCCCCAAAGACCCTTCTGAGCTTGCCCTGCTCCTGGGCACCCCCGGCCCTTCCCAGCAACAGGGATGCTTGGGAACCCCGGCACCTCTCCCACCCGCAGGACTGGCCACGGCTCTAAGCAGAGTGCAAGGGGAGCGTGGGATGGGGGTACCCAGCTCCTGGACCAGGATCCCATGGGAGCAACAGCAACGAGCAGCCACCCCAGGGCTTTGGTAGAGGGGGACACACGGTGCTAGGACCTCACCTGCTTCCCTGGAGCATCCACCAAGGCTCATCCCTGGCTTCAATGCTGCCCTTCAGGGGCACAGGGCAGCTGCAGGAGCCCTCCAAGAGTGAAGGCTCATAGGGGCACACCAGCCTTAAGCCTTTGGGCTCGCTATCAAGGGTGTGAGACGCTGTGGGGCTCTCAATTACCAGCATCACCTACACGTGTTTGCAGCTCACC